TTTCTCCATCTGTAGGGCAGAAGACTTAGAAGACCGAAATTCATACTTTCTAAATATTACTCTGGTTACAAACACTTAACGCTGAGTACAGTATAACACTGTATCTGCAATTAATATTAATAATTACAGTGACTCTATCATAAATGTAATCCATTTATACATACAATATGGCAGCAAATGAGCCTCTCGGAAGGGTCCACCCTCTACCACTTGTGGCTGAAGCCTCCAGTCAACGTGTACATCAAAGTATATGTGTTCAACGTCACCAATCCTGAAGAGTTTCTTAGCGGGAGAGAGAAAATTCGAGTACAAGAAGTCGGACCTTATATTTATAGGTAAGCGAGCAGTAGCACTGTTGTGACATGTGGGTGTCTTCGTGAAGGAACTCTTTGGTAACAGGACCGCACGTTTTAACTGTTCCCTGCAGCTTATGCAACACACTTTCAGCCAGTGAATATAAATTGTATATTACAGTCTGGTGGAAAAACTTGGAAAGCAACAAATTGAAACACGAAAACGGAGATACAGAAATATTTGTAAAAATAGTTCTGGAAAAACTTAAAGCCTGTTCTCCTGTAAATATTTCTTTCCTTGTAGAAGGAAAACAATAGATTAGATTAAAGTGCTGATGTAACTTTAATAATGATTTTTGAAGAATTAATTTCGAGTACCTGCGAATTGTAGGCAACGCTCTCAAACATTCTTTAAAGTCGCCAGTTTGAAACTTTTAACACATAATTAATTTAAACGAAAATTTTACAGTTCTGTAGCTTATGAAAATTTTCACGTGTCAGGCGCCATCCAAAGAAAGAATAAATACAGACGGAGCGCCCTAGACATTTTGATTTGTGTTCTACAGGAAGGAAGACATGATACATGATATAAATTATTATAAAATCTGTTACTACCAAAATTTCAAGAAACTATTTTTACTGGCACAAATGTGTTTGCAAATCATAAGTACGCAAGACGGCCATGTTTTTTTTATTAAAATTGGATAGACTAATTGCCCTTCTGTGGAGAAACCAACTCAAAGGAGCAAACTCATTGAGAAGCTCGTAAGTCGCTCAGGTAGAGGCCAAATTCCTCGCTTTTTATGTAACTCAAAACGTCATCATCGTCTTCACAAAAGCCCTGGTCCCTATTCCGACTAAATGGAATCCATTCTATGCCCTAACTCACGAGCTGTGTAATATTCTTTTTAATATTATCTTTATACCTAAGCCTAGGTCTTCCAAGGTTAGGAAAATTTTGTAGACGACTGTACATTTTGACTGTGATAATTATACCGCTGCAGGTTTTGGAAAGAACAGAGTGAACGAGGAAGTGTGCTATGATGTCGTGCGGGAATCGAAGTTATAATTCTGATGCTGTGACCTTTTCAGAGAGATCCTGGAGAACACGAACGTGACCTTTAACCCTAACAACACAATTACGTATATCCCGAAGCGCAAGGTCGTAGCCGAGCCCGAGATGTCTCCTAGGGACCCGGATGCAGATAGGATTATTGTACCTAACGTCGCATTGCTGGTATGTTGTTAGTTACAAACGGAATGCTTATTGTAACATAATCGGTGAATACACCGGGGCGTTCTTTGTTTAAAAAGAATACACACAATAGATTTATTTCATACTTTTACGACTGAATATTTCTTGGATAAATATCTTTCGCTTCACAGATCACAGTCCTGATTATCAAGATATAAATCCTCCCTTATACATCGCAAATCCCGTCTCTTCAGTCTTCTGACGCCGTTTGGAAGCGCTCACTTCTGTCGTGACATTTTAATCTCAAGTTCCGCATGAAGCACTCGAATTTCAACTGCCAACTATCCACTGACATCACAAGTCCTTGGTCGCTGTCTCACTCGTTGCTGGAGCTCGTATTTTTAAATATAGTAATTGTTCACAGAGTTCTCCAAAGCTTCAGAAGTCATCATCAGAACACGCTCCATTCTTCCTCCAATACCAACCACTGATTGACATTACTGTGGAGGGGTTCAGTAATTCGGACATTTCTGGAAGTTTTCGTAACACAGGACCGGTTGTGTCCCTGTAGCAGGAGAGCCGGTTTAAAAAGTTCTGAATTCTTCGTTAATTTAACGGTGCTTTGAATTTGTTTCAATAGATGACACTGAATGATAGGACGAACTGGAAAGAATGCGACTGAAATGATAATGTACCAATATAAGGTACTGTAGCGGCTTTGGCCTTGGGTGACTGAGGAAAACCACGAACGTTTTAGCCAGGACCGAGATTTAAACCTGAGATTTCCCAATTACGAAGCAAGGGTTTTGGTTCTAACATTTCAAATTAATGATTGGTCCTAAGAATTATTGGGCATTTGACTTTGGGGATTCCCACAAATTATTTATTCTGCTGGGTGATATTATTCTCTCATCCGTGGAGGTAACGCAGCGTCGGATTAGATGCAGATAAAGTCACGAATTATTGACAAAGATTTGGAGAAAGGCGGTTGGGACTTATTTGAAATCAAAATCCTGATTCCCGATTGGATAGACAATCGAAAAACTTTAGTACAGCAATTTTTTTTTTTTCAGAATTTCCGAGATAATGTCGGAGTGGTGCTTTTCCTTCCCGTTTCCTTCCCAATTCTATCCAGCACATTACAGACCTCAAATGATCATTTCTATATGTCACTTCAGTTTACTGGGAAGTTCATACGAATCAATCAATGGATGACCCAAAGCTTCAGTTTATACGACGTCTCTATAAATACATTGAATTCGGAAAACCCTACTCAGTTCTAGTTAAGCAAGAATTTGGATTGTGTTCTACTGAATTTTGCCTAGTGTAGACTTGCGGACGTTTCAGGAGAGAATATGGAGAAGGTAAATAAGTTCCTCCGAAACGTCTGTAACTACCTAGGCGTAAAAGCAGGGGTGGCCAACCCGCGACCCGCGAGATTCATCACACTTTTACAAAATATATTTATTTTATAATGGCCAAAGTAGTGAAAACCAATGTATTAAAAAAATACATTATTTGTGCATCCATATATTCAAAAATTATATTTATATATTTTTTATATTTAATTTTTAGTGCTATATATTTCTTTACAATGTACGCTTAGTATCATTATTATTATATTATCTATGTTTACATGTAAGAATAATAGTAAACACAATAATAATAACTCATTATGTTTCAATTTTTCACTCCAAAAAAATGTCTATAGTGTATCTAAATCTAATATGGGGATATATAATTTTATATGTGGCCCGCGGAGTTATGATGCATTTCCAAAGTGGCCCGAAAGATCATTTGGGTTGTCCCAACCTGCGTAAAAAAAAAGCAGATCGCAGTGAAAATTTCAAGAGTCAAAGGAGTTCATTTGCAGGGCATGGCGTCAATGCTCCACAAGTCGCCAGCCTTGCTAAACGTCGGGCTAGCGACATTGGCGAGGTACTTGGACTCACAGCCACTACTCAACCTCACGGCCCACGAGTACCTGTGGGGATACGATGACCCTCTGGTGCGCCTCGCTAGTACAATTCTGCCCAATTGGATCCCCTTCTCGAAGCTTGGGCTCATGGACAGGGTAAGCGGTCCTATTTGTCCCCAGGAGCTAGTAACACCTAAATTAGTGGGCCAGTTTTAACGTAATTCGGTACGATAAACCTAAAAAGATGGCTGCCTTTTGGAATCCTCTGCCGTGTAGACCAGAGGGTCAAATTTTATCAGATTCCACTGCGCATGATTCCAAGAGATAGCCGTCTTCTTACAATATGAAATCAGACATGGTGCGACTGAGTTTAAATTTACAATTTGTTATAGTTCCGTTAATTTGACTGAAAAGGGCTCATCTTGTCAATAAATAAATTTTATATATGATCTGAAGCTTTCTTCTCGGGCTACCAGCGATGTCAGGTGATTTAATTAAGAAAACACCAAAGTTTCAAGAACAATCTTCGTCCTCGTCCTCAGGGTACTGAAGTATACCCTGAGGAAGAAGACGAACCACGTGACACGTCTGGTAGCCCGAGAAGAATTCATTAAGCTAAGTTTGACTTTGTTACTTAGATGTTCGACGAAGGGGAGAACGTGGTGACCGCTGCTCTCAGTGGCGCTCAGGACGACGAGACTGAGGTAACGGAGAGGCGACGGAGTGTGTACTCATTTGATAGCTACAACGGGCTAACAACCCTGAGGCAGTGGACGGGAGGGACAGGCTGCAGTTCACTCAAGGGTGTCAGAGAGGGAGTACTCTACCCAAGGTACATCTGGCTTCCTGTCTGGCTGTGCGTTAACCGCATCTAAGCCAGAAACTCGAGGTTCGGTCCTCAGAACTTCCTCCCTGACAGACACTCACAAATGACCGTAAAACAGATCATGTTTTTTGGGAACGTAAATGCGAGTGGTGGAATCTGTCTCGCCTTTAGAGCGACAAGTCAACAATCCTTCAGTCCTCGTCTTTCGACGCAGAAATATTCTTTGAAGAGCAGTTTACAGTAGCCTGTGGCTATCACGCGTTCTTAACTTCACACTGGGTAGAAAGGAGAATTTATTCTTATGCCCTGTAATGGAGCAGCGTGTACGTATAGGAGAGGGATTTTCGTCTCTCTCTCGGATAGAGGGTAACGCAGCCCCCATTGGATAGAGTCTGGAGAGCGGAAAGGCCAAATTTGACGCGGTGGCGTAGTGGGAAATCTCTACCAATATCGGCCACCTAGTCTATGACCTGGTCATTATAGCGGGTGACGTATATCTGATTCCTCTTGTTCACAATATACCAGATAAAGCACTGTTAAGTAATCTATGAATAAAAAACATCCTCGGCAAGGAACCATTACAGTTTTCCTACATTACAGTTTATAAAATAGGTCTAATTCTTACGTCACGTTTAAATTTTCAGAGTTTACGGAACATATTTTAGACCGAGAGAAAATTGAACAGAAGTGTGACATTTTATTTTCGCTTGGACGAACTCACAAGAACTTTCTTAGACGGACTCAGTTGAAATGCGAAAAACGTCATCAAGTCTCATGGCCGATATTTGAATCCTTGATCTGCGAAATATAAAGCAGTGCTAACCAGTCGGCATGTCCCTTGATTTGATCACAATTATAATAAAACCGGAGTTTCTTTCACAGCAGTCCGAGAAAAGAATTTCCACTGTTCACTGATTGAAGACCTAAATGTAATTGAATATTATAATGGTCGGTTTCGAAACTTTGCTTTGAAAAGAAAGCATATTCAATTTAAAATAAATTGGAGTTTATGTGGAAGGAAGTGGTCGTGGCTTAGTTTGAGGTACTATCCTAGCATTTCTCTTGTTGAATTGATGAATACTATAAGAAATTTAATCGAGGTAACCAGTTGCCAAGCAGAGATTTGAACCAAGGACTTGAATAACATAAAACGGAAATGGCAATCGACGTCAGGTAATTCAATACTAAAATTGATCATAGAGAAACAAATTATGACTGTACGTAGAGAAAATAGTCGAAGGTTACTTTTTGTTGAGTGTGTTGCATCCTGCTGCATTACAGGCGCCTGAATCCGAACGATACGTTCCTGATCTACCGGAAGGCGTTCTGCAGGGTTCTTCCCATGGTTTTCTCAAGGAGTGTTGCCACTGACCAGGGATTCCCTGCCTACTGGTTCCGTCTGCCTGACAACGTTTTCGATTCACCGGACAGAAACCCAGAAAACGCGTGCTATTGTCGACCGGATGTGGCACCGTGTCTGTTGTCCGGTTTGGCGGACATAACTCCATGCTACTATAGTAAGTTCACGTCCAAAGGATTCTATGCTTTCTCAAGTACAGCCTCTACATTCATCGTTAGTAATGAAAGATTATGCGGTGTCATAACACAGATGATAATAGATGATTAATTACATTAAGTAACAACCCTGCTCTAACTGACTCCGTCATCAGCAACGGGTCTCTCTCCATCTCTTGACTCTCTGCCCTGTCGTCGGTGTTAAACGCCAACCCGTCCACTAGCCTACAACAGAACTGACTGTTCCTTCTTATTTTTCAGGCATTCCCGTTGCATTATCATTCCCGCATTTCTATAAGGGGGATCCCCGACTACTCGACAAGATGGAGGGTCTGTCTCCGGACCCGAGCAAGCACGAGTCAACCTTCATCATTCAGCCGGTTAGACAATTTTACCTTTTGCAAGCCACATCGATGCAGACCTATTACGACAATGTAAAGACACGCAGGACTGTTCAGATATTGTTTGCAAACTGTACCAGGAACCTGCCATCGATTTGATCATTCTCACATCGATAGTTTATTATTAGTGTTCTGTCTGACGACAGGTCCATATGAACAGGATCCTTCCATCCTTTTCTCGGACTGGGACCTGTTCATATACGTTCTTGGCAGATGATCCAGAAGTGGCTTGCCATTAAAAAATACATTTTTTTGCAATGAAGTACATAAGGTCGAGTTTCGAGTGCTTCAGGGCGAAGTGTGTTCAGGCCGTGGTCTTGTGGATTATAAGAACCGCATAGTATTGTAACTGTCTATATTTCGAAAAAATATGCTGTCTTCATCCTCAAGTACCTTGAGGATAAACACAGCCGGATCCTCTGAACCGTTACTAACCACCAACATGGCTGCATATTGTCAACCCAGAAGACTAACAGTCGAAAATATTTTGGTCTGCTTCGTGTTGTGGATACTCTGTTCAAAGTGCATTCTCTTGCAGGACCTAGGTCTACCCATAACAGTCCGGACCCGAATGCAGCTGAACCTCGCCGTACATAATACACGTGTCAACCCCAGGGTGGCCCTGTTCAACAACCACACTCTACCCATCTTTTGGCTGGACTGGGTTAGTAAAATGTGGGTGGTTGTTAAGGTCTCTAGTCGAAATCTGTCGTCTTGGCAAAGTATTTACGAGTTAGACAGCATTTACATAAATCTATTTCAGCTCTTCACGTATTTGTACTTTTTCTTAAAACGAAATTACGTCACCACCATAAAATAAGATTCCCATTTGCGATTTAAATTTAATTTATTTCATGTTTCGGTGATGCATGCAGTATCTATTGGTACGTAAAGATATTATTTAAGAGTTATAATCATTACATAACAAAGCTTTATATTGTTAAGTAATTTCTTCACATATGTCAGGTATTAATTTTTCATGAATCCAAATTCCCTTCAAATATTTTGAATGTATATATCGAGGTGTCAATATTAGTATAAAAATATAACAACAACAACTCGAATTACACTTATGTATATATTTAATTGTTTTTTTTTTTGTCTTTCAGAAATGAAACCATATTTTATAATAAGTGGGTGTTTTGTAGTAAAATTTGCTTTCCCGCATTAAGACTTACATTCTGATGAAAGAGATCGCTCATTCCTTGCAGTACTTCGAAATGCCCGACGTCCTGTCACGTCTTCTGTACCTGACGTTATTCGTGGCGCCCGTCCTCCAGTCTGCAGCTGTGGCGTTGCTGGCGTTGCTTGGGGTCGCCATGTTGGTATTTGCCGCGTGCAGTTGCAGCAGGAAGAACAGTGCGGTGGCAAGTAAGATCCTCAGTAAAAGTCAGCACTTACTGGAGAAGAACGCGGGGACGGGGGAACAGCTGCTAGGCCGAGGGCAGAGCGGCCTTCGAGGTGGTAGGAGGTGAGGATCAGCGGAGACCGACGCTTACGGGAATGTTGAGTCCTAGTCAAGCGCATCGAAGGACTTCGTCGAAGGTTCCTGCAATTACGTTCGAACTATAAGTAGGAATATTCTAAAGGGAACTGCAGATAAGTGAAGAGGATGACAAAACTGAAGACGTGAATGTTCTCCTGGTTTCTGCCCAGTGTTTAGATACAACGGGGAAGGTAAGAACTAAAAACTATCGCAACATGACATTTTCTGCAAGAATTGGAAACCCATTTGAAAAGTTTAAAAACATTAGAAATTGTTTTGCAGCTGAGTAGAAAATTCTGAAGATGAATGTGTAAGGACGTGGAAAAATCTGAAAAAAAAATGTGAGAAAATTGCAAGGAAAAATCGTGCAGAAAATTTGGATGCTAATCCGAAGAAATTCTCTGTAAGGACTTGGTGTAGTTTATAAAGGAACGATGGCTCGTTGATACGCAAAGTGATCTATAAATTAACGCGTTTTATGAGAATTTGATAATTTTGCTTGAGTTCGTGCGAACTAGAGGGGGGACGTGATATTTGGAACGTTGTAATCTCTGCAGAAGATTGGAACTCTTCAAGAGTGCAAGACCTTTGAATACTAAAGTATCAAAAGATACTCTGTGAGAAGATTAAGTGTCGGAGGATAACTGGACATGAACAGTTACAGAGATGTAGAGCAGGCCAATATGAATGTCTACGTTTGTTATTTGACTGTGTGAAACATTTTCTGGGAAGTTCTATCCTGATTAAATGAGTGTGAGTCGATAAGATATCAGGTGTACAAGAAAATTGTTGTCTTAAAATGTAAAACGAAATACACGTTTATAATTTAAAGAGCATATAGTCATTTAAATTGTATGATAAAAAATGTCCATAACATAAGAATGCAAATTAACCGACATTAAGTAATTCTTATAGTACTTATGATGTCATGGTGAATCAATAGATGTATTGACTGTGTAGAGTGTAACGTGCCTCTGGTTTTTACATTACTACATTATTTTTTAATATTATATTGTAAGATATTTATCGTTTAACTGGCAGATGAACGAGACTTAGTTTTCATTATTCGAATACTGCATATGTATTATTATATCGTCAACTGAACAGAAGTAAATATAATATATAAGAAAACAACAAGTGTATGGAAAATTGACATAGCATTACAAGTTGGTTAACATCATTCAACTATAATTCATATTTTTCGTAAAATGTATATTAGTCTAGTATTAGGCTGTATTTTATAGACCTCGAAAGAAAACCTCTAGACTTTCGGAAACAAAAAAGATTAAATAAAATTAAATTAAATTATGGTCCTATGAGGTGGTGTGGGTCTTAGAGATATTCAAATAAACAAAAGGAATTAGTTGTATAATGATCGCATCGCAGTAATATACGTAAGAATCGAAAATACATGAAACAGAAAGTGAAAAATTACGTAATTTCAAACAAGCCCATTTGAAACACAATTTAACTTACCTGGAGCTTTTATGTCCGCCTTCGACGAAAGTCACTTTCACGATAACCACAGAACAACAAACTCCTAACACGAAGAAGCCAAGACAGGTTTAACTAAGCATCGCGGAAAATGTAAAGATAAACCACTCGTCCTCGTAAGTGGAGGCAGAAATGTTTTGTTACAAGCTGTATCGTTAAAAGGGGCATGACCCAAATATAAATTGAATTTGTCAAAAATTGTTCACTGAAAATATCCACAGGATATCAAAAATAACTTTTTAACGCGTATAAATTGTATTTGAAGGTTAAATATTTTAATATTTTCCGTCAAATCTCAATTTTTAATAAGATAATAAAATATAAAATATTTAAAAAAACGTTCCAATTTGTAAATCGATCATTCGATGAGGAACGTGAAATGATATTTTAAATATTTTATATTTTATTATCTTATTAAAAATTGAGATTTGACGGAAAATATTAAAATATTTAACCTTCAAATTGTATTTGAAGGATTTGATTGGCTTTTTTAGTCAAGAAAATTTTATTCGGTGTTTTAAACACAGACAATTGCATTGGAAGTTCCTTGACACGACGCACCAACAGAGAAATAAATGTTGAGATGGCTTGAGGTTACTTACACCGCGAATAACCATCTTTCTTAATTTAATCGTAATAATATTTACGGATGTTACATTGTATAATTGTATCATGGAAACCGTACGATATTAATTGTGTTTTTGTAAGATAAACAACGTTTTAGTTCATACAGAACTTATGTAAAAGTTAACATTTTTGAAAATATAAACAATAAAACAGTCAAGAAGTATATTGTGTTGAAGTGGTGTTTCTTTGATTTAAGCTCATTGACACAACCTGTCTCCATCTTTAGAAATATAAGGCAACTAAGTTGGGACCCGCAGTGCTCAGGCACTTGAAGAATGCGTCGTCACACTTAAGTAAGTATCAAAACAACTCAAACAGTCAAATGTTGTGTCGTCTGAATTCTGTTTTCGTCAATCGATCGGTTCCTGCAGTCGACTATGTAAGATTTAAATTTTATAGGCTCTGTTAGTTTAAATTCGGTAGGAAATGCTTGCGAGGTCCTGTAACATATGCAATCCCCGGTAAATAAAATTTTCCAACATTTATTAGTTTAATATGCCAAATAAACTGAATGGAACTAATTTCTTGCACAAGTTCTCAAATAAGTCGAATATTTTAAACAAAAAATGTTCTTAAACGCTTAGTTAACGAAATACACGTGACCGTCAAATTGCTATAACCATCCAATGATCAAACTGTGGACGTCGTATGCAAATTTCGTTTTCCCCTGTACACATAGTACGCAAAGAAGCGATTTGAGGAAAACTAAAATATTATTTAAAAAAGTACCGAGTCCCCGATGATTTTCATAAAGAACTGATATCGAACTTGCTTAAAATTCTTCCTAGTCAAGTTCCTGAGGGTGGAATGGAAGCTGTCTCCACTGGACCACTCGATCTTTAGCCTGCTAGTTCGCTGTTCTAATTTTCCGGGATAATGATTCCAAAAATTGAAAACTACTTCCACCAATAAAATGTCATATTCTCAAGAACGGCCTTCATATATAAGATTTGAGGTTTCCACAGCCCTGAGTATGAAGATTTCTGTCTTCTGGGTTGTTGCGCTGTGTAGTCTGGTCGATGTT